AAAGCGTGACTCTATCTCTTCATATAGGAGCTTTAGCTGTAGTGTTATCCTTGGCTTCAGCGACTTTCAGCAAACTGGGGACAAACCAGTATCTTTAAACATCAGATGACTGCAGACTGATGAATACAGAAAAAACGATCTTGCCTTCAGCTTAGTTACAACGGTCATCTTGAACTCCATCTCCCTCCAGCACATCAGCTTTCTAAATATTGGAGTACGTTCAGGGTTAGCTGAAGGGATGCTATGATCTTGTGCTGGAAAAAGCAAGTCTCATGCAAAAGACTAACATCTATCTCTTAGAGGTTAGAAAAGTGACATTTTTAAAGGCGATATGTGGTCTGAATGTACCCTGCCTAGCCAGCAGCCCTCAGCTAGGGCATAAGCTATGCTTCATTAACCCGTTCAGTCCTGAACAGATCACAGCCTGTCTTCTGTCCCCATTAAGCTTCATCATAGGGATTCTTCGTCTGCCTCTCTTACGTGTTCCTCCACCAGCCCAACAGCAGCCCCTGCCCTGGCTTCATTCGTTCCTCTTCCTCTCTCTTTCTCTGGCTATCTTTTGTAGATCAGGAGTTGATGAAGCCCCTGACAGACGTCAGCACTTACTGTAAATTCATTCTATTTTAATACCTAATATTCTCCTGAGGTATTTGCTTTCAAAGCAATTAGACATCTGTCAGCACCTTTGGTAGATTTCAAGCTTTCATTTCAGTATCCTAAGGTGGAAATAGCATTCCAGTTGAAAAATCATTGCTTGGTCGTAAGGTTGGAGTGAGTAAATCTTTAAGCTGATGAATGCAGCTGCTGCCTTGACAATTTGTGAGTTTATTTCCTTCTGGATATCCCCACTGACTTGCATGTTACTGCCAAAGAATGTGAATGGAGGCATTTTTGTATTTTGCCTTCTCAAGCAGTATTTGAACTGGGAGTTACAAGGGCTCTCATTAGGTTCACTTTTTGTAAGTGTTCATTAACCCCCTCTTTTTTACAGTGCTGAACAATCCTTTGATCCTTGCATGTGGGTGGATTTCCAGTTCACAATGGCTACATTCTCAGCTTAGTGCATTGTGGTTAAACTCCATGAATTTTGCATATGCATTTTTCTGATAGTGATATCACTGGGAATGCCTGGTGGAAGGGAAAAAACGCTTCATTGTTTGACACAGGCATCTCTATTCCACCACTTGTCCAAGCCCTACTCCCCAAAGTAGGCAAGTTGCATGTGGGTTTTCTCTCAGTACTTGTGTAGCCGCTCAAGTGGCAGGCAGAGATCCACACAGCTCCAAACCAGCTTCCAGAACGAGTCCTCCACGTTCACAGATCACTGTACTCCATCATGGCATCAAAACATGTGCGTTTCTTGAGGGTCACACCAATGCTTGAAAAGGCTTTTCCAGTTCTCAAAGTCCGGTTGTTAACAGCAGTGTAAGAACTCAGTGTGTGACCCACTTTAAATCCAGTCAGCGTGGTTGCACTGTGCAGCACTGAACCCTCCTTGTGTCCTGGAACTGTACCACCTCTACATTAGCTGGACCAGGTACTTTTGCCCCTGCAGCACAGGTCACATGCTGCCATGAGCAATGCTCACTCTTTGGCAGCTTTGGCTGCCTGGAGGTTCCTCTCTTTGCAAGAAGGACACAGCACCTTTCCTTACTCATAACTTGTGTCCACGTCTGAGGGTCCTGCATCAGAGGGCACAGAGTAAACCTAGCCCTCAATATTGTCCTGTGGATTTTGCTTATTTGCTCCATAAATATTTGGGAACAGAGAGGCTGTAGCACTGCATTTAGCTGTCCAGAGTAGGAAGGAAGGTATTTACGGGAATTTGCTGTTCAGTTGGAGTTTGATTTTTATGCCTCCTTTAATTATGTCCTCTTTTCATAGTGCAGCATGAGTAACAATTCCCCCTTTGTATGTATTTTGTATCTATTCCTATTTCCTATTGAAATTCCTAGGAAAGAGACTATCCAAGTACAGAGTTGAAAATTTCGTCTTAAAATAAGCCAGATGTCCAACCTTCCTTTAGCTGCCAAGCCCAAAAGAGTTCAAGAAAGATGTTAAAATCTGTCTTCCTGGCTGTGAAAAACTAATTGCATAGCATAGGTGATGATCCCAGTCTCCCAGGAGAAGGAATAAAACTGCTTCGGGCAAAAACTCTGCTGTTATTTGTCTAAGGATTGGATTTGGCAGTGTCTGTGGAAAAAGTTTCATTGCTTGCCCTCCTTGCTGGTTAACAAATGCAGAGACAGGAGCACAGACAAAGGTAGGTGAGTGTTTGTATGCTGGTATCTGCAAACCTTATCCACCTTATGAGAAGAATGCTTTTTTCTTTCTATCCTTCTTTCTTTCCACTCCCCAGCTTTGTTAAGAGCATTCATAAGCACAGGGAGTACCTAAAAGCCAGAGACAGAGATTTCAGACTCACTCTGTTACAGTCATGTGAAGAAACCTATGGCCTGGATGGATTATTTCATGCCTGTGTGGTAACAGCTATTCTGTTTGTAAAATGGATGTATGGTTTACTCCCCTTGCAAAGAGTTTTGTGAGCATTAAGATTAGTAAAGCACCCTGAAGTGCCATTAAAATCCTGAGGATTAGAGGCTGCATATGACTAGAGAAGTGGAGGGGCAGAACAGTTGCATTATCAGGATAAAAACTGTTAACTTTAAATCCAAATGTAATGCCTACGCCTGACTAGCTTCAGACTGATGGAAGTCAGAGGGCACACAGTGCTGGGGAAGTGCAGAGGGACACCCAGGATTAGGGAAATGCCTAGATCTTACTGCAGGAGCTATGAAGGGTGATTCAATAAGGAACTTTAACAATTGCTTTTTGGAATAGCTTGCTCTAGGGCATACAATGTTCAGCGTAGTGCTAAATACCATAACCCTTGTTGAGGAATTAACAGAGAGTGACCAAATTTTGATGTAAATTCAATAGCTCAAAATCTAAGTACAAAAAAATCCTGTTGTAAACTAATGAGTGAGCTCTAAATTGAAATAATAAGAAGGGTGTAAAGGAAAAAACCCAATTATTTATTTTAAAAAGAGTTGCAAAATAAATGTAGAATTTTAATATAGCACAACTGCTGCCTCCAGAATACAATAATCAGGTCCTGGAGGGGGCTGCATAGCTGGAAAAACAGAGGTAGGCTGCACACCAGGATAGCTTAATGCTGAAGTCCAGAAGGGATCTGAGCCAGAGATTGTTCTGAATGGAGAAAATCAGACAGTCCTGGAGAAAGGCACTGTGAGAAAGAACAGGAATAAAGAGCAGGTGGAATATAGGGAAAAAAATAAGAGGAAAGCAAAGACAAATTTGGTGAGTACACCAGAAACAAGAAACCCATTTAATAAGCAGCCATTAATGTGTGTGACTAAAGAGACAGATTAGGGTAAAAAGTCTATAGTTTCCTTAACAACACTGATCCTACAACTCCTCCTACCTAAATATAAGTTGTTCACATTGTGTAAATGTATTTCTGCACTGGGTTGTTGCAGGACTCCATCAGCTCTGCTTTACATGGTCCTTGTTCATCTGAGGCCATTTTTTCTCAGGCCTTTCACTGATGCACACAGAAAGTAAAAGCTCCCTGGGCCTCACCCAGAACAAAGCTACATTTCTTGTATCAGATGGTCTTTGAGAAGCAGCAGGGGCTCCTTGGGGTACTTCCAGAACAAAATGAACAGAGCTTTGCTGACAATCCCCTATACACAGGAGAAGTGGAAGCCTACATGCATCCACGTGTTCTTTTGCCCCTGGCTCCTAGTCTTACAAGCATTCCATGCTGCATATACATCCTTCATTCTTGGACTTCAGTGCAACCTCAGTGGTGCTCATCTTTTGAGCCTCTTCAGTGTTTGGCATGATGTTTTTAGGAATTAGAGCTCTGAGGTGATGGTGTTTTTCAGGGAGAGCGCTCCAATGCCCTGACTTTGTTCAGAAACAGCAGAGGACAGAAAACATGATTGTTTTTACATCATCCTAATCATATCTCCTGAGTTTTCCCTCACCACCTCCTCTCCCCCATCGTTTGCTTGTGTGTGGCTTTAGCAGAAATAGGAATCTTACCAAAGTCCTGCAACCCATTGTTTCTTTATTTTAAATACAAGATTCTTTTATTAACTCCAGCTGGTGCACCTCACTGTGCTCACTGTGTTTGCTTTATTAAAATTGAACAGCGTGCAAGTAGGACATTGTAAATCACAAGTGACTGGGCCAGAGGAAGAGGGAGGGAGAGACGTAGGGACTCCAATTGTATGGCAACAAAGAGAGCATATAAACAGGCTGGGCCTCCTGGCTAAGGGAAGCCAAACTTGTGGAGTACAGCTTGCAATTGCTCCCTGGAGGACAGACAAGTGCCAGACAGTTAGCAGGGATAGGTGAGAGCAAATACTTGAATACCTGATGTGTTCTCTCGTTTACTGGAACAGAGTTCCGGGCATGCAGTAGTACTGCCTGCCTCTGCTCTAATCCTTGGGTTTATCTTCTGTTAGTGCCTGGCACTGGTCATCTTGTCTGTGAAGGATGCCTTGTTAGACCATTCAAGTCTTGGAGAGGGCTTTTAAATCAAGTGCTGTTGGGTCCTTTATGGAGAGGGAGATGGAAGCTACTTGTCCGTAATTAAGCAGTAAATGTTTTCCAGCTTTGCCTCTTTGTGGCTGGTGAAGGGAATTACATCTCTGCCTGCTTGAGCCTCATGGGCATCCGCAGGGATAGTCAATGCAGACGGACACAGAGCAAGTCGAGACAGAAAGACAACAGACACCCTCCCTGTTCCAGGGCAGTTCCCCTGCTCACAGCACTCCCTGAAGCTGCAAAATCATCATCAACATGAAGGGCTGACAGAATGACTGACCCTGTTGTTGAGTCCTCAGCACCACAGTGAGCTGCCAGCCTGCTGCACAGTTCAGCTCTGGCAGTGATTTTTTGGGGTATGTGCGCATGTGATTTGGAAGTTACTCTCTATGGACCATGTCTCAGTGCCTTCTCTCCTCCAGTGCTCCTCAACCTGTGGGAAAGGCCTCCAATCACGTGTGGTCCAGTGTATGCACAAAGTCACCGGGCGCCATGGCAGCGAGTGCCCTGTCCTGTCCAAGCCAGCGGCCTACAGGCAGTGCCACCAAGAGGTCTGCAATGAGAAGATAAATGTCAACACAATTACCTCGCCCAGACTTGGTGAGTGAAGGGATGCTGGGGGAAAGATGCCACCTGCAAAGGACCAGACAAAGCCCAGGGTCCCAGTGTGCCAAATGTGATAAAAGTGGGGCTTCAGAGGATGGTCCAGAATCAGAAATTAGGAGGGAACCCACAGTCAGACTCTAGACTAAAGGTCTAGTGTGGATAGGTCCTCTCTTATACATTGATCCCCGCCTCAGGCTGTGCCCAAGCTGGAGCACAGAGCAGTGGACTTGAGAGACCGACAGGAGCACACAAATGGTGGGTGACTGATCACAGAGGTGGGGGAGCTGGCAGGCATATCCTTCTCCATCACAAACACCTTCATGCCCTGCTTTTGCCCCCATAAGTGTAAGGTATGATAATTTATTCATCCATGCCCCAAGTACATGACTTTGACAAGTAAAGCATTGCTGGCTTTTTATTTCCTTTTCATCTGCACCACAAGAGCATGGTTTGATGAATTAATTTGCCCAGGGAGGCAAGAAACCAGCCAGCCTCTTCCTGTGAACCCTTTGATTTTTTGTCACTGTCCTTTTCCTCACCCTCCCTGCTTCCCTGGTGTACCTGGCTGAGATGAAAATACGGTGATAAACCATCTGTTTCCCAAAACACCTTGATGCTGTATTTAAGAAACGTCTCTAGTTAAGAATGCTTCTGCTAATGCAGAATTGTGGGAATCCATGATTTTCCACATCATACTTGCTCAAATTATAAGGGGAATTAAAATATATTTTTCCAAATACACACAGCCCTGTGTGTTCAGCCACAGCTCCAAGGACCAAGCTGATTTCTTTACATTTCACACATCATTACCAGTAAGATGAAGCTAAACTAAGCCATCAGCTGCACTGACACAGCCTCATTGGTGCCTCCCATTACTTTTGAGTACAAGAGGCTGGGTTGTAAACAGTGCTGCTAAGAGCTTACCAGAAAGAACAGCCTCCACCCTCTCAGCAGAGCTAGTCTGTAGTTTAAGATACCTCTAATAAACATGAAAAAGCAGAGCTGCTAAGAAATAGAGAACCATTTTCTAATAGCCCTGTCCTGTATTAAATAACACTTAAACTAGGGCTGGACTGGAAGCTTCTGAGATGAAATCTGGTTCCCAAAAGTTTAATAGATGCTTAAAGGAATATGGAATTTTATTCATGCAAATGCAGTCATACTGAGGAGCTTCTAACCTCTTGTTCAAGAACATAGAAAAGTACTTCCCAGAGATTTTAGCACTAAAAGCATAGTGAAAGGAAAACATTTCATTTGAGAAGTAAGCCCTTAATACGTGATGAGACAAGAAATCCATCCTAATTCATATTTTAGGACAAAGCAATAAAAGCTGACATATTTAGAAGACTGAGGAGGCTGAAGTCCCTGCTGAAAGTAATCTGCAAGTAATTTGGGATGCTTTTATTTCTAAACCAGGCTTGAAATCACCAGACCAGAAACAAGGATATTTGGCTGTAGCAGAAAGATATGTCATTGAATGTTTTGCTTGTCTTGCTTATAAACAACTCTCATTGGGTTATCTTTAAACAAAAGTATCTGTTTTCTGCAATGGAAACCCAGCCAAAAAACATGGTACAGAAAAAATTCCAGTAGTCTACAAACCCCATGCTGCCTTGTCCACACTCCAGGATGTGTTTCATCCCAGGTATAGCATTTTCAGTATCTAAGCATGGAGTTCACCTCAACTGACTTTTACATCTGTGTTCAGTGTCCCTAAGTGAAGACACGTTCAGAGGGGGATTATTCTGTCCCTCCTAGCCCATGCTGCTTCCTCAGCATGCTTCCTGTCTTACTTCACAGCCTATGAGGGACCTTGGACATCTAAAATATTAGAGTCCTGGCCTTGTTTGTTGCTCAGTGTCTATTATATAAAGTCTCTCAGATTCATAAAGTCTATCTTAGATGTTCTTGCAAGATGTGTAGTTTATTCAGCTACATCACATTTTCTGTGCCTGGTTGGAACCACAGCTTGAGGGGCATGCTGCAGATCTATCCCCCTCAGAAAGCCCCTCTGCTGCTGGCAGACTCACAAATAACCTTCTCCCTGTTTAGGATAGCCACTTCCACTCCAATTTTTTTCATGCAATAAGGTTTTTTTGCATTGGCTTCGTGTTCCTTTCCTTCTGGGGCAACTTCAATTCATCAGATGTTCTCAAACTTTTGCTTCTTGTCCAGCTGAGCAAAGCTTCAGTGATAAACATTCCTACCAGTTCTGCTGCCATTGCTTTCTGGTGCTTGGCACAGACACTCACAGCTGAATACAGGATAAGAGCCTTCCGTGGTTTCCTCCAGCAGCTATGAGGAACAGGGGAATCGGGATGCTGCTGGGTCAGCACCTTTTGATGTTCTTTAATTAAACCATTTTTCCCCAACCTCAGAGGCCACAATATTCAGTTAGAAGATTTTCCAGTGATCATAGCATTTATAAGGATGTTACATACCATACTATAAATCACATACTATAAAAAGCACCCACTGTATGGGTCCATTGTCATCATGTGTACAGTTTTGCTACCATTACTTTTTTATAAAAGCACATGTGACTAATGATATTGTCAACAGACTCAGCAGCAGTGTCTCTCTGCTGTCCATTTCCCCCCTCCCAATAGCAATCCTACTGTTTTCACTCCACCAAGAAGTACTGTTTTTACTTCTTATTAATTTATCTTTACGTCCCCCAAATTTGCTTTGATTTTGCCTCTCTGCAAAAATGTTTTCCATCAAGGGGGTGATGGCCACTTCTGAAAGAGTGCCTTATCACAGCACTCTCCCTGGAACCACATAGCTTCCCATTAACTGTGCTGTCTCTGTATGCCTAAATCTAAGCCAGTGCTTTAGAGGTTTTGTTCCTCTAGGCCTATCTGCCACCGAGACAAAATGTCATGTCCTGCTACACCCTTGCAGTAAACACTTCCAAGAGCCTGATGTTTCAGTACAAAGAACATCATCTGATCTCCAGTGCTGACAGCAAGATTGGCCCTTTCTTCCCTCACATGCAGTAATTTTGATCACACCTGCAGCGTGTTCTCTGGCTAATCTGCAAGTTTCTCCTTTCTTTTCTTGTCCAAAGCTGCTCTCACGTACAAGTGCACAGGCGACCAGTGGACAGTGTACTGCAGGGTGATCCGGGAGAAGAACCTGTGCCAGGACATGCGGTGGTATCAGCGCTGTTGCCAGACTTGCAGAGACTTTTATGCAAACAAGATGCAGCAGAAGAGTTAATGAACCTGTGCTACTTCTTAGAGCATTACAGCTATTTGTATGTAAATCACGGACTAGTAGGTCTGAGTACTGGAACTTGATGAGTTGCTACAATGTGGTGGATTCCAAAGCATACCTAATAAGACTTGAAACTAATTCTACAGACTGGATACCAAAGTAATCCACTCATCCACCTTAAAAAAAAACAAACAGAAAGAGTCATCTCAAGGAGCCAATCCTTTTATGGTATTTTGACATCCTTACATTTTTCATTAATGCTTCTTACTTTAATATATTAAATCACCAGCCACTGGATGGCTTGCTACCATTAAAGAGAAGGACAAGAGTTGCAAAGTGATTACATTGACTAAGGTTATGGGTACCCCCATGGGGGAAGGCCTCTGGCAAAATAATTCAGCAAAGGTAGAGACATTACTTAATCTTTTAATCTTGGCTTTCATCTGGTGCTTTCAGTTCCCAACAGTCATCCCACTGTGGAGTGGGCTTGGAGGGACACACGTAAATGAGAGGCTTAATTTAAAGAGAGGATTTGCTGTAAAAGCTTGTGAAAACTGATAGCAGAGGATGAACATCTCTGAAATTCCTGCAGAAAACTCAGTACAACATTCCAAGTCATGTATTTTAGAGAAGCTAATCAGGACTGCTCTTCTTTCTCATTTTGAAAAAGAGTCCTCTCTCTCTTTTCCCCATAATATTACAGTTTCTTTTATGAAACCTGTTTGTTCTCTGAGCTTTATGAAATGGAAGCTTATTAACAGCCGCAGATAGTTATTTTTAAACAGGAACTATTTACATGAGATGAGAGAAGCAAGAAATCATTTCCTCAGGTAGAGCTCACTGAGGGTTTTCTTGGTCTAATCTCTCCAGTTTTTAGAAGTCAGTCAGATAATGAGGCTGAATGCTGTTTTTTAAGAGGACCGTGAAACTGGATAGGGTTGGTACAAAAACAGTATTTGGAGCGTGAAGAAACACAAACAGCAGAACAAGTGTTTCCTATCTCTTGGCTCTTGTATACATCTGAGGTTGTGTAGTCTTTTGAGTCAAAAGGAGTCAGGGATACAAGACATTCAAAGTGTAATCTTAAGCTTGTTGAAGCCATAAGGCCAAGACTTCCATTGCCTTCCGTAAGGGTTAGAAGGTTAGGATTGTACTCACTGTATTTTAATGCTTCCTGTCTTCCATGGTGCTATCAGGTTTGGTGCTATCAGATTGGTGCTATCAGAGCACTTAGCAAGTGCTGCATATACAACGCTCTCTTCCATGTCTCTGCACTTTAAACCAAACTCCTCTCTGAGATGTGAGACTTGAAACAGGAGCTCTACCCAGGGCAGAGCTTGTCCCCTCCATTAGTCATACAGACCAATGTCTCCCTGTCATACCTTGCTCCAGTACATATCATTTCCTTTGCCAGGGTCCAAGGCCAGTTGTGCAATGGTGGTTAAGTTACAGCCCACTGTTCAGGATACAAACAGCAGTTTGGATGAATTGCAGCTTTGTACTCGCTCTAGAACTGCCTGTTACTGTTTTTGCTTTGGAGATGAGTGCAGAACTAAGCCCAGCCACTACCCGCAGCCCTGGGCCAGTCTGGATTGCAGCTCTCACGTATCCTCAAGTTGTCTTTGTTGCTGTTGTCTCTTTTTTTCAATGCAAGAAGGGATAAAGACCTTCAGTACCTAACATATCTTTAAAGCAACTTTTTCTTCCTTATTACAGTCCTTTCAATATCCAGGACCTCACTGGATTAACTCATTAGCATTTTATTAAAGGCTAAGTTTTTCAAGCACAAGAAGCTAATATTCATTAACAGACTAATACTTTGTGGGCTTCACATTAGCATCTGTGCTTACTAGTGCAAATAATCTTGTGTGCACACCAGGGTTGGCCTGTGTGCACAGGCACATTTGCACACAGTTTTTTTCTCAAGTGCCTGTCTCAAACAGATCTGCTTTCCAATGCCCCAGATGATTTTCTCTATCAGGGAAATGATTCAAACTTGGTTTTTTGTTATACTGAATGTTCTTTTGGCATCTTATAATCAGGATCAGACCTCCTCCTTCTGTTATTTCTGCTCTTCAGCCCAATTGCAGAGATTGTGTAACTACTTAGCAAGTAATCAATTAGCAGGAGTGACCTGGAAGATTTAGGCAATACCACAGTGATTTTCATTTAGGCAAATTAATAGGTAGATGAACTGCTAATGAAGAAGTTCCAAGAGACCAGACAGAGCCCAGAGGACCTGATTTATACTGGTAATTCACAGTGGTAGTTTTCCCCCTTGCGGGCTGTCATACCCTGCAGTGACACTGTCCCTAGTGCCTCACCACCACCATAGCCACCTCACAGCAGTTTGGGTGAGATGGGTCCCCCTGACATCCTTCATTTGGAGTTTGCTGGTTTACCTTTAATGGGCAACATCTGCCCATGAAGCGGCCCAGCCCAATGAAATGCCACCCCCTTGCTGATCATTGTGGCATCACTAACACTCAAGTTGGGCTGTTGAAGGATTTGGCATCAGGCTTCTCTGTTAGCTTGGAAGAAAAACATGTGCATTTATTACTAATGGGAATCAAAAGCAGGGGTAATTTTTCCTTCTGGTGCTGATCTGTCACCCTCTCTAGGCAATAGGAGGGCTCCTAGAAAGGTGCACAGGAGAAAGAAGATTTTAGTTATTATGTTTTTCACTAACTGTTCACTCCTTGCCACTGTCCCGAAGAGGACACTAGGCTAATTAGACATGTGTCCCAGTATGCTTAGTTCCTGGATTCAAAGGACATTTGGGTCCGAGTTCTTGGTCTTACCTAAGGAAACATGAATTTACAAGGAATACTTTCAAATGTCTGAGCACTGAAAAAAAACACCTCACTTCCTCTCACAGCCCATAGGTTAGTGTGCATTGACCTTTAGGGTTTTTATTATCAGAAACCAACTTTAATTAAACACTGATGGCACAACACAGCTCCATCTTATTGCGTTCATATGGTGACAATCTTCCCACTTTATAATAGCCAGAAAATTAATAATAAGAAAAAAATTCAGTTCTGTTCAATACTCCTGCACTTCTGTTTTGTATCATTTTATAAGAGTTTTAATATGAATTTACAGCTATGCTCTGCCCTCAGTTACTACATACTGGTGAAAAGAAAGCTGTTTGTTTCAGTGTATCTATGACAATACTTCTTTCAGTTGTTCGTAAGAGATTGATGCTCTTTTGATTACAGTGGTGGTATTTCCATATTGTAAACAATACTCTGTACTGTTACTAAAGTACTGTACATTTCTAGTTGCACAATTGTGTTATTGAGTGTAGATTCTCACTAGCTCATGTATGGTGCTATTTTTTGTTGGTGGAAAAGAATCTTAGCAGTCGGTTATTGCTTGATATTTTATTATAATACAGGGATATATTCTCCATGGCAATAATATCATTTAAGTTTTTCATTACAGAGTGAAATGTATATATTTTTCCATTAGCTAATTTGCATATGTACTGTATCCATGGTAATTTTCTTTTTGGTGCTGGTTATAAATAGAAAAGATAAAAACAGTCCAACTGAATGGAACCAGTTGTAAATGAAAACCAAGGGGAAAAAAAAAAGAGGCTCATTCCTTTTTGGAAAACAAAATTTGAGTATGTTGAATAATAAATTTATTTTTTCCATAACAACTTTAATAAGGTTTCTGAACTTGAAAAAAATATGAAGCAAGCCAAACAGCTAGCATGAAAATTAAGAGAAAGGAGTGATGCTGTAAGTAGTACATTATGCATCCATCTAACGCTGGGCTGAGACTGGGATTTGGTTAAGTCCAACTGTCTGATAGCTGTGGTAGGTGTAAAAGGTCATTTGTCAGTAGAGTTCTGGCATCTCGGAGTTCTCAGTGCACTAACAAATCAAGAAATGATGGGTCTTGTCCCGGCTGGGTTGCAAAGTAAAGCACAGGGAATGTTAATACCTGATGAATGCCTTGTGAGGTCTGTGGTCAGTGAGGCAGCAGCAGAAACTCCCTGTCTGGAAATAGTGAGCCAGGCTCCATTTGGGGCATCACTATGGAAGCCTGAGCAGGCTGTGGGGAAGCTAAAGCTTATGCATGAGGGGAGGGAGATTTTGTGAGTGCTTTACGGGAAGGTTGCTTTCAATGTATGCTGGAGCTGAGGTGAAGTGGCAGCTTGCTCTGTGTTTAATGGTAGTGGGTCCACGGGCGCAACCTGATAATGCTGAGTATGTGGAAATTTATATTGGAGCAAAACTATTCCATCCATTGGAAAGGTATCTACATAACCTAGCTGCACACTTCCCTGGTGTGAAATAAACGGAATTACTTCAGTGCCAAGTGTTTTGGATGTCTTTGTTGTAGGCACTAGCCAGAATCTTTGTACTGTTCAACTCCCCCCTCAGCATGGTGAAGATGGCTTTTTTGCAGACATCTGCACACAGATATGCCTGTAGGATCCTCTCCCCTCCTGTCTTCCATGATGCCATCATCCGTATCCCATTCCAGCACAGCTCTTGTTAAAAGGACACTTCTTGGAGATGGGAACAGCCTTAAAAACAGACAGAAGTATGGTGGATGGGAGAGTTCTCCTCCCAGAGTCATTTCCAGAAATGGAGTTTATACTGGTATTAAAAATAGAGTTCATTTACTGATCTCACGCTGACTTCTTGGTAATGGCACAACACTGGTAGGCTTCCTCAGAGGTAGCTTTAGCACATACTGGCCATCATACATATGACTGTTAACAGCAGCAAAATTGTAGAAACTCCATCCAAGTGTTGCTGTATATTAGCACATCATCGTGTTTGTGTGTTGCCTGGAGTCAACATATGATTGCAATTGCTGACCTGTTTAAACAATAAAACATAGCTATAAGCCTTTAGAAGCCAAAAGGCTTTACGTTAAGCTGGGATATGGCAATGGGTGGGAGGGGTGTAAGGAATGCTGTCATACATTTGGCTTGAAATTTTCCTGGTATGTGCCAATATCTGTTCTATAAATGCAGTAGGCTTATATACTTAGTTTGCCTATTTGCATGTAGCAGTTTGCTGGTTTTCTCAGCCATGATGATTTGAAGCCATTGTCCTACCCTATGGTCTCTGTTGGCTTTATATTTAAGACACCTTAGCCAAGATCATTAAATGCAGGTAAGGTCAGATGGCTCTGGTGCTCTGGCATAAGAATACCAGGAAGAAAGTAAAATCTCTTCCCAGCTGCCTGGAGCTCAGTTCTGCCTCCTCCAATTCCACCTGCTTCCTTCACTCTCTTGCAAGCCCTGGCGTACACAGCAGCCTTGGCTGTCTCTTGGTCCCTTGCAGCAAGCTGGCAGGACCCTGCTTCCTCTGGAAGGAAATTGCTCTCCAAAAAGCACAATATGGATCACTTCACCCTGGCATTAGCCCCATGCATCGCTGGGAGTACTGCTGTTGGAAGACCTTGCTCTGTTGGTAGAGTGAAAACCACATGTTCCTTCATGCTTTCCCCAACACCACATGGTCCATTGGGAAAGGTATGTTTTCTTCTTACTGAAGAGTGTCGGCACAAGTACCAATATGCCACGAAGTTCCAAGCCGAGAAGAACTGTGCTGGATGCATTCAGTGTTCAATGCACTCACACTTCAGAGGGTTTAAGAAAAGAAACCCTGGTAACCTACCTGCTAGCAAGTTACTTGCCTCACTTGTCCTGCTGCTATATGAATATAGTGCTCCCAGAAATAGGCAGGTTGTGGGAATGGCTCCTGAACAGCGTTTCTTCTTTGAGTAATTGGACCTCTGCTGCACACTTTTGATAATACTTCTCCATACCACTCACTCTTCAGCATCCTTCTGTTTAACTTGATTTGAAGCAGGTCATTAGGAAGATATGAGTTCCTCGAGTTCTGCTATTGCACAAAGACCAGGTATTTTTTCTGTGTGCATTGTTTCTGTCTCTATATCGTGTCTCTAGCTTCTCTTCATGCTCTTTAGAAATGGACTGGTCTGTCTGGAGAGAGACCTCCCAACAACATAACTGGCTTGGACAATCAGTACTGAAGCTTTGGATGGGAAGAATTTTGTTTATAAAAGGAGAGTTTAAACAAGAGAGTATATAAGGAGAGAGGGACCACGAACTTCCCTTAGCAGTAACTACTCAGAATGTAATCAGAAAGTCTCCAAAGCTGACCTCCATGTGTCTTGCATCGCCTCGTCTCCTTTCATGCCACTTTCATGTGACAGACCCCATGAAGAATGCCTGGAGGCTGCACTGTACCACATTTATTATTTTGTCAGAGCTGCTGTGTCTGCCAAATGGTGGCCAGACACCCAGACAGACTTTCCCAATTAGCAGAGTCCTGCAGCTGATGTCTGGGGCTTGCATATGTGTTCCCTCTGAGTTACCACAGCCGAGACGCTGGCCGGGTCTGCGTGGCCTGGGGTAGGTATTGCCTCGACCGCTGGGCTGCAGAGAAGCAGCTGAGTTTGCTTGAAAGTTGTGGTTTCCTTCGGCTCCTCTTGTTTGGCTGTGAAAGGCTCTTGTTTGGGTGTTTGATCCTTTCATCCTTCTGTGGCCTGGGTGGAGCTGGAGCCTCCAGTGTGACTTGTCTGGGTCATGGCACAGGCCTTGGCATCCTCCTCGACCTCAGGAGAGAGCAACTCTGCACGCTCACCATGGCAGAGCCCACAGGACATCGGCGTGTGGGGCCAGCTCCTGGCAAAGATCATTCTCCAGGTGAGCCCTTGCATCCTCGGCATCTCCAGCCTCTCCTGAGCCTCAGGGGCTTGCAGCAACTCCAGAGATGCTTGCCTTGTCCTTCCTCCTCTACTTCCCTGCATGCTCAGTCCTTTTCCCCTCTTGCTGTGCTTGTAGCTGCTTTGTCCACCACAAACTTGCTTTTCACCCACCAGAAACTTTGCCACCTCTGCAGTCTATACAAAATACCTCCCCCTGATCGAGTGCCTTTAATCTCAGCCATTTGGGAAACTATTTTTTCTAATGGTACTCCTGTATTAGCCTTCTGACTGTTTTCACTGTTGCTTTCTGGATGGTTCTTGTTCTGAGGTCTTTTATAATGATTCAGTTTTCTTTGTGCACTTAGAAACTACACCCAAACGTGTGGACGCTGATCCTTCTCTCAAGGGCTCACAGACTGCAGGTGGTCCTGGTGAAAAGGCAGATTCCCAAAGCAACTAGCTGGGGTTATTGGCAGCAGCAACCTGAAAAGGCATGGAGATGAGCATAGATCACTTCTGAATCAAGTAAGTGAGCTTGTACTGTGGTTACTGCACTGGCAAGGGAGGGAAAGGGATATTCCTCCCTGGTTTCTTATCCTCAGACACATTTTTTGTTATTGGAAGTAGTAAAGGGTAAAATTCGCATCACTTCAGAGATGCCCCTCATAGAAACTCGGCTGCAAGATCCAGCCCCAAGCCTGGATACTGCTCAGAATGTGGGCTGGCAGAGGGGGAAATGCTCATTTGTTCAGCAGGAGGAGAGCTCTGGTAGCACGCCAGTCTGTGCTCCACTACCCCCAAAAAGCATCAGCTGTTGAAAGATCATTGACAGGTTTCTGTAAGGTCACTGCATACTACATCATTGCACAGCCATCCTGCAGACAGGCACTGAAACTATTCAGACTGTCGATGAACCGCTGAAAAGGGGGTGTCCTCTAACAGGATCTTTAGGTTGCACAGAGATCAGTGCAGCCACGGCCTGGCCAGCAAACCAGACAAGCCATTCCCGGAGGTTTTTTCATTTTCTTGGAAAAGACGTTATTTGAACATTTTGCAGCTTCCATTTATTTCCCCAGCCCTGTGTTTTTTCCCCTTGATTTTGTCTCTAACGGCAAAAAGACCCAACCAGACTGCAGCTTTGTTTGGCACCAAACTTTCCTCCTGAGATGATCGCACAAGAAGTCTTTTATCACTTGGGCGGCTCAGAGCCAGAGCTGCTTGTGGTGGAAGTCGCCGGGACTGTAACCCCGGGGGCTGTCGTGGGATGAGAGTCGAGCTCGGGCTGTCAGCAAGGCGAGTTGCAGCAGTCGCAGCCCCTGCCAGGGCACGTCAGTACTTCTGAGCCTGCTTCCCCCAGTGCGGCTCTCATTAAGGAAAAGGCAAAAAATCCACATCTAGATTGAATTAGGGCTTTTAAAAAAAAATTAAGTGTTGTTTAAAATATAAATCCTGTCCAGAGTTATGGTCTAGTTCCTTAGGAAATCACTATAAATTGAACCTCCCCTGCTCCCGACTGCCTAATAACAACATGTCACACCTTGGTTTTCTCACAGACCTTCTGTGTCACTTGTGCTGTGTTAGTTTCAGCACTGTCACCTCTGCTTTATGCCCAGGTTCATGTCAAGGAAGGAGGGCCCTGCTGAACTACAGGACTGATGCTCTCTTCAGGCCCCCAGAGATGCTGACTGCTGCCACTCATGGCTTCTTCCCCTCATCGTTTCACAACACTGGGCAACAGTACCTTGAGGAGGGGACTGTGACACTGAGCCCAAGAAATGCTGTCAGTCACATTTCCCAGAGGGTAAGGAAGATTCCAGCCATTTTCTTTTATTCTCAACCATGTTTTGCTGAAAAAACAATTTTAAAGATGGAAAGGAAAAACCACAGTATTGTGTAAGCAAGATAGAAAACAGCTTTCTGCGGGTTCCCAGGTATTTATGTGCCATTCTCCCTGTAATGTTATTACCAACAACATTGCCTGTGGCTGGCTGACTATTAAGTACGGATGGTTTTGCAACAGCTGTGTGCACAGTACCTTCCTTTGCCAGCAATGCCTTTTCCCTGGCTGTCCCCATGGCTCAGTTTATTTGTATGCAAGGCAACTGCAAGGTTATCGAGGCTTTCCATCAGCTGTACAAACTCGAAGCAGAATCAGCTGCATGTGTGTGTGTTTCTGAGAAATAGAGGGTTTGGGTAGCTTCTCTGAGAGATATGGTCTTTCTTAGGTGTCTATCTAGAGGAATTACTGCCTATGCTTATACTACAAGCTGTGGAGCATCTATAGCCATATGTATAAGAACGAAAAAGCATATTTTCCTGTTTGTGTTTGAGCCTCCCCATAGAAGGGTTCTAAAGCAGAAGTATCTTTAACTACAGGAAAAAAAGGACAAAAACATCCTCATATTTGTCAAAATTTTCTTAGATATTTTTCAGGGTATCACTGAGATTTGGCAGGCACCTCCCCCTTCTTCCCCTGCCTACCCCAGATACTTCCATTTTTGGCTACAAAATCTCAAAGTTTGGGCTTTTTTTGACCAACAACATCAGCCAAAACCCGGGCTCTTTTCTCTAATTTTTCCACGCAATTTTTAAACTATCTTCTGGCAAAACAGAAATATTGTTTTGAT